TGCGTCGGGCTACTAAACAATAAGGGTATCCAAAAGCAAATATGATCTGAAAAAGCATTGCTTACCTTCCTTGCCGGCAGATGTGCGAGGATCAGCACCCCACAACAATACATTATAATTGAGCATGGTCTCGTTAAAGGTCTGATCCTCCAAGACTTGACGAACCATGTAATCCACATACTTAAGAACCCTCTTATAAGCCCACATAGTAACTAAAAATTTAGACCAATAAAAAAACCTGAGCATCTGGAGAAAAGAGATATACAGCGAATAAGGTCTCAGCATCGCACGCAGCAGAAAATGCCTGAATTCCCATATGAATTATTTATTATTCACCTCAGAAGTGCAGTGACTAATTGAGCAGAGAATTGCATCAGATCATTTTATGTAGTAGACATTTAATGTTTGCTTGGAGAAAATCGAGAGTAAGGAACCTATTCAATTAGGCTAATAAGATTTCATAAGATCTTTCAACAGCAGAACTACTTAATACCATGCCTTTGTCTTAATTAGGGTCACTTTCCCCCTTCACACTGCGCCACGATGAGATGGTGACTTGATGGTCTATCGTCTCATCGCGGCGCGGGATTGACACAGAGAGTCGAATTGCGAAGTACAGCGAAGGTTTATTTCCTAGCAGGGACTCCCAAGCTGAGAAAGAGTTCGACTTTTCTGGCTCTTTGAATGCCCAGCTAAGCCAACCAGACCGTGGGCTCGGCAGGACGGTCTCCACCAACGCCGATCCTCACGCCATTCTCGAAGCTGCAGAGTTCAACTACCATGTAATCGTCTTGCAGGCAGAAAACCGTCACTATCAACTGCTATTCTCCAACAACAGCTGATGACTCGGAACTAGATGCTTTTCATAAGGATTTGGAGGAAGTCATCTTCAAATTCGTCTTAAGTGACTACCATGCAAATATCGGGGTGCCAAAAGAAGGGTAGTAGGGTCAGGAGATTTGAAACAGAACTGCGCACTGAGAATGGTAACCGTCTTGTTGGGCTCTTACTCGCCGTATTCTTCATGGCAACTATATTTCCCTGAAGAAAGAACTAAGACGGCGTCAGATTGAAGGAGCTCCCGACCACTTGTGACTGACCATCAAAGAGGTTCCATCGAAGAAAAGCCATGGCATAAGTGCCTCAATGCCTCGAACTAGAACTTAGAACGAATTTCGAAGGCCAGCAAGATCCTTGAAAAGAGGTGAGCACTGAGGCTAGATCCGACTGCACATCTCGAGCGACTGAAAGCCAATACCACTTGCTGAAAGGCTTTGCAAGAAGATCTTCAAAACTGGGCAATGAACTTTTGGAAGCGACACAAGGTAGGAAAAGTCTTAAAAAGTACCGCTGGGATCTTCGCGACTACCACATTCCGCTAACAACATTCTTAAATAAGATGAGACTCGTAATCTTCCCGACAGAAGATGGAATCGATCAAAAAAAGATTCTACACCAATCTCTCCCGCTCATCAACACCCATGTCAAACCCCGTTATTCGCACTGGAGAGATACCACCACGGATTCTACCTGCTAAAGTACGCGCCGCAATCCAGACCATGAAGGCAGCCACGGCTCCGGGACGGGGCCACGTTTCGGCCGACCTCTTACGAGCTGGAGAACATCGCGCACGAGAGATATCTGCGGCACACCTATATCTTACCAAAAGAAGGGATCCCCAACCAGTGGGGAAGTTCCCAAGCAGGGGGAACTACCGTCCAATATGCCTGCTGAGCTTGCTTTACAGGTTTTTCACAAAAAGTATTCTCACTCGTATATCAAGGAAAATGAGTGAAGCCTAACCTGTACAACAAGCCAGATTTCGCAAGGGATTTAACTGTTCACATCCAGACGGTTTCGAGGTATCGGGGTCTGCCAGTTGTATGCCTACCTCTCGTCCTAACCTTCGTCGGCTATGAGAAAGTGTTTAACAGAGTCGAGACTAGTGCCATACTGTCA